TTGTGGCAGACTACAGCGCCACTTACAGGCCTGGCATATGTACTACAGCGTCTCCAGCGCTTTCGAACGGCAATGGCCGTGGCTGTCTCCTCCTGATTGGTGGAGTTGGCCCAATAGCCGTAGCGCCACCGTCCTGACGTCAGGACAGTGTTCAAATCTGGATCAGTTTTTATCAGATCCGTTGCAGCCCCTTTTTTAGAGATTTGGGTATGAAGGAAAATAGAGAGGGTTGTGTTTTCTGACACTTGGTGAGTTCCCTGGAACACCGGGGACACATATTCATGTATAAAAGACGTACAAAAGTGCATTTTGCATGATAGGTCCCCTTTAACTACCAGCTAAAACCGGTTTAGCTGACCAGGCTGGTCTTGAACCAGCAAGAACAGCCTGGCCAGCTTGTCCAGCCTGGTAAACCAACTAAACCAGCCTAACACCAGCTAAAACCAGCAAAACCCAGCAACCATCTTAAGCTGGTCTATGCTGGTTTTTTCAGCAGGGTTGAGTTGAGAGGTAATTAAAATAGCTAAGGGTGATGATCTAACTTGAAGTGTGTGTTTTGTTCCGCTCATCGCTCCATCACAGCTGCAGGTTATCATGCAGAGCTGCGTGTCTCCTCTCCTGTCTGATTGGACTTCACTCGCGTTTATGTCCATATCGATCAAATCTAGCTGGAAGCTCCTGCTGGGTGCACTGTCCTGCGAGATACCGGGACCTAGCTCGAAACACTGGGGCTATTGCGTCATCGTTAGCAGGAAATGATCGTTATAGGGCGTAATCACGGAGCCGTTTGGCCCCCCAGAGCTGAAAAAACCAGCATAGACCAGCATGGATTTCATGCTGGTCTTTGCTGGTCTTTGCTGGTTTATGCTGTTTCATGCTGGTCTATGCTGGTGAAGCTGGTTGTTATGCTGGTCTGCCGGCGCAAAAGGCTGGTAGACCAGCATGGTGTTGCTGGTGAAGCTGGTATACCAGCATGGTATTTTTAGGTATAAAAGAAGTGATGTCCCTGCTGAAAAAACCAGACCAGCAAGGAATTCATGCTGGTCTTTGCTGGTCTTTGCTGGTTTTTGCTGGTGAAGCTGGTAGTTATGCTGGTCTACCAGCAGTCTTGCGGCTGAAGCTGTATCACCAGCAAGACCATGCTGGTGTACCAGCTTCACCAGAAGTTGGATTACCATTTTAGCTAAATAAATAGAGAGAGAGACATAGAGAGACCATAGACTGTATATATAAATGGATGTAGGGTCCGTGACGTCACCCATAGGATTCTGCAGAGTTGCAGAGAAGCCCTTAGTAGGCGGAGTTGGCCACTAACGGCTCGACAGTGACGTCAGAGTCCAACTCCCGCCTGCTCCAGCCTGCTCCAAATAAGGGCAAAGAGGCGGAGTCAAGGCGGGATCTCCTGCCACTGAGCTGGAAGTTCCAGAGCTAGCTGAAGCTACCAAGCTAAGCTAACATGCTCCCTGTCTGCACACTGCCGTCGCATTTTATGTTTCTAAGGTAAGCGGACATGAAACTATTCAGCAAAACTATAAATAATAATCTAAGTTATTGAGTTTTTAGCATAATACTTCAGAATCTTAAAATCCCTTGACGTTTGTATGCAATTGTGCTAAATTCAACACTGTTTGCATGACATTATTTATTTATATTTTGCTATCACTTAAAGGTAGGGTAGGTAAGTTTGAGAAACCGGCTCGAGATACACTTTTTGTTATATTCCATGGGATGCTCTTAACATCCCGATAGCAATGAATATCTTAAGTGCTTTGACAAAAAATCCATAAAAAAATGTCATCTGTGGAAGCCGTAATACTGTAAAAAGTACGACCAATCATTTTAGCCGGCCCGGCTAAAATAACTGGATGGCCTACCTGCCTGTCAGCCTTCCATCTGTGCACAAACTTATCTCGTGCCCACATTGGTCATGTGCGCGTTCGTGTGTGTTGGAGGAGGGGCTCTGTAAGGAAGTGGCAGATTTTCTCCGGTTGTCGATTTTCAAATTCTAGCGATCTCGAGCCGGTTTCTCAAACTTACCTACCCCACCTTTAATTATAAGTTTAATACATTTAAGTCAAGCTAAGGTACATGTGATGGTAGCTAGTTAGTGCTCTTACCTGTGATGCCTCCTCCAAACAGCATTATAAACAGACTGTATCATTAAAACTACAAGTACCAGTTCTAGATCCTTGACTTTAGACAAAGAATTCAAAAGACAAAATGTATTTAAAGACCAATCTTTATTTGAATGTGCCTCTTAACCTGAGATATTAGTTATACAGTAATAGTATTGACAATCTAAAAAAAACTGAGCAACTCAACGGTTCACTTTTATATTTCTTATTGTGTAAAGCATTTATTATTTTCATTTTTCCCCTCTCATATTCAGTGTGGACGGATTGAGACAGCGTGGTGTCCAGAGAGCTGCAGAGACTTCAGGGAGAAACCTCCGTGTGATGGACGTCCAGTCTGTTAGTTTGGAGAGGACTGAGGGTCTTTCCTCTGCGAGGAGGACCAGGCCTGATGGAGGAGCCCATGCTGGGCATAGCTGATACCAACTGCACAGGCCTAGTCTGTCACTTTATTTGACTAAATGTGTTTACTTATACATTTAATAGGTTTACACCTTCTGTCCATATGTGCTTTTTATTTAAAACATTTTTGATTAACGTTTGGTTCACATTTCAATAAATTGAATTTGTATTTGCACTCCTTTTGTCCATTATTCTTACTGAAAATGTTAGATTACACATTCACATCTGACTGAAGATTGGCCCCATTTATTTGTGACGTTGCAAACTCTGCGGTACAAGGCATAGGTGTTGTGAAGCTCATAAAGTGAGGCAAATAGAAATTAATGCAAAACCGCATTCATGCACCGTCTGTTTTAACCGCAGAGCGAGTCACAATAGTCCGATATATAAGCATGAAGAACAAACAAACACGGCCTAGTTCAAGTTGTGTTCCCTGGATGAACTGAGCAGGCAGAGTCCTTGTCTCTCTGCTAGCTTCACGGAGCAGCTAGCAGAGAGACAAGAAGCTTACAGCAGCAGTCACTTGACAGACCTGTCACTCAATGTGACCACGCCCTAATTTATGCAAAAACTTTAAGACCTAATATAAATAAAAGGGTCATGTTAAACAATTCCCTCACCAATTCATAATCATGAAGGTGGAATCTAACTATATCCCGAATAATCTTTATTGCATCCAGGGGTAGAAACATGTTTATTTCTGCTGTAAAGTTGGGCATTTTAACATGGGGGTCTATGGAAATTGATCCTTTCTGCAGTCATCGCCTATATGCCAATAGATGAACTGCAGTTTGTGGCACTTCCTTATTGGTGTCCCGGCTCTGCCCCAGAGTTTGCCGCTTGAGAGAGACAGACAAACAGATAGACAGACAGACAGACAGACAGACAATTCAATTCAATCTTTATTTCAGACTCAAGGTCCATATCACATACAGAATGACAAGATACACATCAATAAATAAGATTAAAAAGCTAAACACAAAACAAAAAAAACAAACAGATAAAAAACATAAAATCAGTCCAATTACAGCTAGCCACACATGCTCACTGTCTGTGGAGGCTATTGCGCCAATGTCTCCAAATCATGGAAGAGAACCGAGTAGAACTCTTCACAGGGTTAATTAAAATCGAGATAACATGATTGTCAGAGTCTTCTAGGCGACACATGAATTTGTACGTTACATTTCTTAAAAGGGCTTGACAGGTAGGTACCCCCAAGTTAACAAACTGTGCCATCTTGGTACCCTCACCAGCAACCGTAAAGCATCTTTTAGTTTTTGCATGCTTCTAGCCTTGTAGTTACTCCACAAGTGAGCCGTGTACAATGGTGTACAGAAAGCTTTAAAAAGTGATACCTTGACATCTACAGAGCACTTGTGAAATTTCCGCATTTTGCCTGGGCATACAGTTTGCAGCGTTGTCTATGGATGTCTTTGTCATCTGTAAGATCATCAGAAATATAATGACCAAGGTAGGCCTACTTAATCTCACTGCACACAAGAAGAATGTTGCTACTGAGAATAAAATTAGGAAATACAGCCTTTTTATCCTCTTTACTTCGCACAATCATGATGCTACTCTTCTTGGCGTTATACTTAATATTAAAATCAATGCCATACTGCGAACAAATCAGACAGACAAACAGACAGACAGACAGACAGACATACTGTGACAGACAGAGAGGGCGGGACACGGAGGAACTGCGAGACAGCAGTGGTTGAAACATAACAAAGTGGTTTAAAACATGGTTTTTAACTGGCGCTAACGGTCAGGGAGTGAAGATCAGTTGAGAGCGGTTGAGAGCCGTTTCTGTGACCCACTGCTGCTCTTCTGAGAGGAACCGCTCTGACAGCTCTCTCTAGTCTCTACTGGGAAACAGCTAAAAGTCCTTCTGGAGGTAAGCAACGCTACACAATTACACCCAGTCTGAGAGTAAAAGCTTTCTTGAAGGTTCGTTTTGCTTTCTTACAACGTTACGTTAATCGGGATCAACAGACTTCATGCAATGCTTCATTGGATGCATATATTAGATAATAATCTCTATGTCACTCCTAAAACATCTAAATCTACTTCCAGCATCGATACATGTTCATAAAATACATCCATTGTTTGTTCTATATGCTTCTTGAAATCCTAAAAAACACATCGTTTTTCTAGAACAGAGCCAAAATGGTACAAACAAGTGGCAACATGTGTGATGACGAAGGTGTTGCGCTGGGCTATATCATGCAATCGAAAGTGAAATTTAAGCTCGCTCCATTGCGGAGATATTCCCCTGAGAGTGCGGACAACTTAAATTAATGTATTCAATAGCACCTAAATTGGTATAGAGATTTGAAAGAATACCTCTGTTTGAGTCAGATACTCCTCCCACCTTTTGGGTGTCAACAGGCAGAGCACAAAGATGAGGCAGGCCTTCTCATCATTTCCTCCCCCCTCACTCTACATCCACCCACCCTGACCGCAGACCACCCCCACACTGACAGAGGAAAGGACTGTGGGAGGGGATAGAACCAAAGCAACCAGCACATGAACAAGTAACTTACAGTCTACACACACACACAGGGCAGAGGGAGGATCAGAAAACACAGATTCACACACAGGAGCAGTTTGACAAGGTACAGGAGGCTCCTTCTGACACACTCTGACAGCTGAGGAAAAGTAAACTTCAAACATAAAGGAGGACCTGTCAAGAAGACTCATTGGAAAAAGGACACTGTTGCTTGGATTCACACACACATTTCTTCTCCTTTTTTACCGGTGAGTGTTGGAGTGATCAGTACGAGTGATGGCGTGATTTTCCCTTCCCTCCCTCCCCTCTGTGTGTTTCAAATCTATTTATACGAACGGTGACTTTAGAAATATGCTAGTGCTGTGGTTCACTCTCAGAGCGCTTGTTTTAGATGCAGCTGAGACAGAGGGGACAGGATGCATGGTTGTATTTGTTCTCAATGTGGTAGAGTGGAGTTTTGACAGGATGTAAAGGGGCAACACCCTCACTCAGCTACATTACTAGAACACACAATCCAATAATAATTATCTCAGGAAACTGGTAATACATATTGAAGGGAAACGTTAAAGTATATGAGGTACTATTCTATGCTGGAAAAATGCTGTAGTAATTAACCATAGCCACATTTTTGTCCAATGACGTTGCACCTGTCACATGAGCCCGGTCTCACTTCAGTTAACTATCTCTTGTGTTTGTTTTACTTCTTCAGCAAAAAAGGGAGTTAGCATTGCTTCCCACTAGACCAAAACAAAAGATTGTCAATGCAAAAAAAAGTATTTTATTGTAAATGGAAAATGTGGTGTGTGTATATGAGTATAATACAGGAGGCAAAAAAAGGCGTGTTACAGGCCTGGACAGCTGGACATACCTCGTCTTTTAAAGGGCCAGTCCACCCAAATTCTAACCAACTAACTGAATTACTTTGGTGATTGTGTAACTCTTGGAGCTCTGCCACTCCCTCTATGCAAGGAGCTTGAATACGATTGCAACATCAACTTGTTTTTCCAGAGAAAATGGGAAAATAGTTGCACAATGTTTTCTGTGCACAGTAATTCAATTAACCAACCCTTTGAAGTTAAAGGTCCCATGTCATGCTTTTCTGGTTATTCCCCGTCCCCTTGTGTGTTATGAAGGTTTTCTGCATGTAAACGGTCTGCGGAGTCACAAACCCTCAAAGTACACCCTGTAGGGAGTAAAACTCTAACACAGAAAAGACCTGTCTATGCTGCCCCAGAACGCCTCGTTGGGGATTTATCTGTTTCCATTGTTTTCTTCCTGAGTACAGTGACGTGCCCATATCCAAATGGACCAATCCGTGGAGCTCCTCACATACACACACTCTCTCAGCGGCAAAACTGTGACGCGCTGGGGGCGGGTGCTCGTGGTATGGGCTCAGAACAGTCTCATAATACACACATGCACACAGAAGGATTCACACTTGTATTTCATGATCCGCAAAAGGATTCACACTTGTATTTCCGGATCCACACTTGTGTTTTTCAATGCACACACAAATGTGTTCCGTTTCATATACATGTAAATAAAATCCAAATACAGACAAAAGTTTTCCATATGTATTTTTGATCCTCACATATTTGTTTTCCGTTTAAAACCTCTGAACCTGCAAACACAAACCACTTTCTGTGCATGGATCGCTGTGCATTCGTGTGTGGGTTTTTTGAGACTCCCCTGACGGTCACCCGATTCGTACTTGTAATTTTTTCTATCTATAGCCAATCAGATGTCTCCTTCATTCTAAGCCAATCACATGAGCGCGTCCCCACGAGGGTATGATTTATTGCGTTCATGACACTTCATATACGCATTTTGCGCTGTCCGGAGCAGGGTTTCCGCGGACAGAATTTATTTTACCGGACAAATTTGAAACTTACCGGTCATGTTTCAATAATAATAATAAGAAGAAGAATTGTGTAGCTGAGTTTCCGTTAGCAGGTAATTACCGGACTATGACCGGATTTGGCTAATAACACGGGAGTAAGGATCATCTCTTTTCCTCTCTCCCTCCCTCTCTCCTGACAGCCCGTCAGTTTCTCATGCAGCTCGCTAAAACTTCACTCGCGTTTATGTCCATATTGATCAGATCCAGCTCTCCTGATCGGCCTTTATAGAGAGCACCGATCAAACTATTAAGAGTGAATATCGGCCGATAATGACCGGCGGGGCTCCCCCCGTTGACAGTTCACTGTCTAGCACTGGCTTCGTAGGGTACTGATCGATTAGGCTAAGCTAACCTGTAGCTGCTCCCTCCACACTCACAACAACTTCATACAGACATAAAGCAGCTGTATTCGCCATACAGGAAACACACATTTAAAACGGTTTTGCCTGCCGTTTTTGTGTACACAAGCATTCATTAATGGTTCGGAAAGTGGCACTGTACCTTAATAATATAAAAGATTGTATTTGCGTGCATTTCCTGCTCGGAAAGTGGCAATGTACTGAGAGTGGAAGTGTCCTGAGATTAGCGCCTGCAGGCAGGCTCCATGGACCTGTCAGCTCCGGACAGCGCAAAATGCGTACATGAAGCGCTACGTCATGAACGCAAGAAATCTACCCTCGTGGGGGCGCGCTGATGTGATTGGCTTAGAATGAAGGAGACATCTGATTGGCTATAGATAGAAAAAATTACAAGTACGAATCGGGTGACCGTCAGGGGAGTCTCAAAAAACCCACACACGAATGCACAGCGATCCATGCACAGAAAGCGGTTTGTGTTTGCAGGTGCAGAGGTTTTAAACGGAAAACAAATATGTGAGGATCAAAAATACATATGTAAAACCTTTTTCTGTATTTGGATTTTATTTACATGTATATGAAACGGAACACATTTGTGTGTGCATTGACAAACACAAGTGTGAATCCTTTTGCGGATCATGAAATACAAGTGTGAATCCTTCTGTGTGCATGTGTGTATTATGAGACTGTTCTGAGCCCATATAGTGGAGCCTCGCAGCGGCTATATAACACACTACTGTACAGGAAAGGGTAAACCCCAAAAAGCACAATAGGGCCGCTTTAATACATCATTATTAACAATCCAAGAACATAAATAAATGTTTTTGTATTCATTTGATTCAAACCATACTACTCTAGGCCCAGATAACACTAGAAAGCAAATTTCAACAAAATCATGTTTAACCCAGAAATGAACCCAGCTCACACTGTCCGCTCCTCGCAGCAGCGAGCCGCGCAACGTCCCGCCAACACGGCACCCAGACCCCACGCAGCATTCTCATCTGTTTGTCCTTACTGGTGTCATTTTCTGGTTGCTAACGCCATTGTAACACATAATCACTGATGTTCCGCTGTAACGGTGGTAGACTCATCAGAACAGAGTGGGCGAGCTGACCAATCAGAGCACAGTGGGATCACAGGGAGGGGGAGGGGGACATGGGACCTTTAAGGTTTTATAAGTTATTACATGAATCCCCCCTTGTACTCTTAGGTTCCTATGTAAAATGTGTTGGCCACAGTCCAGCAGGTATATGCTTATCACCATATCCCATGTCTTTTTATGCTGCTGCAACACAAACATTTCCCAAATTGGGATCAATAAAGTACTTATTGACTGATCTTGTCTTAAATAGAACATAAAAACGCATCACCTCTCGTCAATTCATTAACAGGAGCAGGACATTTTAACTGAAAAAGATTTACGACAGAGTGGAAAGTATGGTATACTGCCCTGCATTTTATAACAAAGAACTGGGTTAAAGTGAAACAAAGGTGAGGCTCTTATTATCAGAGAAGAGGCATTCTGGGCCAGTGGCCCCATTAGGTGCGGGCCATCCAATGATGTTTAAAAAGCTCTCGGGGTGCGGTGGGAGTCCCAGGCCCGGGCCCATCATGATCCCCCCTCGCTTTTAGCCCAGGCCCGGAAGCAGGCTATTCTCGTCCAGCATTGTGCTGCCAAAGTATTCTAACTCTGTCCATTGTGTCCGAATGCTTTCCATGACTCTCAGCGATTTTAGTGGGTCTGCACCTTAAATCCCTTCCATTATAGAGCGGCAGCGATTTGCTGCGTTTGCTTTTGTATTCAGTCGACCCGTCCCTCTCACCCCTCCTGCTAACGTTTGACTTTTCAGCTAACGTTACTACTTTTGCACTGAAACACTGAATACATGTGGGCGTAGCCATGTTCAGATCTGAAAGGGCTCGGTATGGTCACAGACAAAATAATTCACGATGATGATTTAATCGCGATGGTCCTAGATCCAACCATGAAAAAGTTACTGTAGCATCAAACTGCTGCTAATGTCCTGAGCGCACTTGTTTTTTAAACTACAATATTTTTTACTACATAAACTTACTACTGCAATGTTTGTAGTCTCTATTTGCATTCACACTCTGAAGTGATTAAGGGCTTTTATTGATGGCACATCATTTATTTATGACCCTTACAATTAGTTGAATGCACATTACATTGCATTTAGCTGACGCTTTTATCCAAAGCGACTTACAATAAGTGCATTCGACCAAGAAGATTGGTCAACTATAAAGACAACTATTTATCCAACCGCAAGCTGCTCTGTTAGACACTTGCAAAATGTGGAACATGACAAAATACATGCTTTCCAAATCATCTCTCAACATGGTATTTATTTATAGAGACTCTGCTTCCAAATAAGGAAATGGTGACCAAGCAGGCTTGGTTTAAATGTTTGCATCCGCTTTTTAAAAGAAGTAATGAAACAATAGATATGTCACCCCAGTAAGAGTGCTTTTTCTTTTCAGTATTCTAGGAAGACGGCTTCATGGGTGAAAGATGAATCCCCGGCTGTCGGGCGACTGTTCGAGTGATTCTTCTGCAATGGAGGATGTTTCCCAGCACACCCAGTGACTCCCTCCATCGCCTCCGCCTCCTGCTGAATGCGGAAAGTCTAGGATGGAAGACCCACCAAGTGCTGATTTGAGGCACCGGAAAAACGATATTGACCTTCAACACCAACTCCCCTCCTTCCTTGCGAGAAGATGCACAACTAGCTGCTTTGCCGCCATCACCAACCAGACAAGGACCACCGCCAACGGGTGACAAGACTTCCAGGATGTTCGTGAACTTCCGCCGGATACGAAAGTGCCAGTTTATGCAGCTGATGACCACCTGCCTGGTGCTGTCGGTGGTGATGGTTTGCTGGGAGCAGCTGGACAACAGTGTGGTCAGCCACGTCAAGTCCTACTCCTACCGCTACCTGGTCAACAGCTTCACCTACATCAACAAGAGCCTCACCATACCCCGGGAGCAGGCTAAAAGCTTCAGCAACTTCCCCTACCTGCTGGACCACACAGATAAATGCGTCAGCAAGGATGTCCTCCTGCTCCTCTTCGTCAAGACCTCCCCAGAGAACATTGAGCGGCGGAACGCCATCAGGTCAACCTGGGGTAATGAGACCTACATCCAGAACGCCCTGGGAGTGACGGTAAAGGTGGTGTTCGCCTTGGGAGCGCCTCAGGCCAGGAACAAGGTTCCCTCGTGGAGCAAGAGATTTGGCTTTCAGGAGCAGCTCATCAAGGAGGACGGTCTCCACGGTGATTTGATCCAACAGGACTTCTTAGACTCCTTCCACAACCTGACTCTGAAGCTGATCATGCAGTTCCACTGGGCTCATAACCACTGCGCTCACGCCCGCTTCCTCATGACCGCTGATGACGACATCTTCGTCCACATGCCGAACCTGGTGAGCTACCTGCAGGACGTGAGCAGCAGAGGGGTCACAGACTTTTGGATTGGTCGAGTGCACAGAGGGGCACCGCCAATCCGCAGCAAAGACAGCAAGTACTACGTGTCGTATGAGATGTACCAGTGGTTGTCGTACCCCGACTACACAGCCGGGGCCGGGTATGTCGTCTCCAGGGACGTAGCGGACAAAATCTACCATGCCACGCTGACCCTAAACGCCTCTCTTTACATAGACGATGTGTTCATGGGCATCTGTGCCAATGCTGTTGGCGTGTCACCACAAGAGCACGTCTATTTCTCAGGCGAGGGCAAAGCGCCCTATCACATGTGTATCTATAACCAGATGATGACCTCGCATGGTCACGTGGAGGATATCTACAACCTGTGGAAGGTGGCGACGGACCCGCAGGTGAAGCAGAAGACCTCTGGACTCATAGGGAGGCTTCACTGCGCAGCCGTGAAAATAGCTCTCCTTTGTAAACCGTACTATTTTAACACCTACCCGTGCAAAGCAGCCTTTTTGTAGTACTATGTCAGGTTGCATTTGCAGACAGAGAGGAAGTGTGTCATAGATCATAATGCAAGAAGGATCATGGTTGCAAATATTACCTCAGTCCTTCAGTCGGACACCCATGTGAAAACACTGGAGCCTGTGTTGTGTGTTTCCCGAGTCAAAGACACCACATGATTCCTGTTTGTTCTTTGTTGTGTGTGAGATCTCCAACACTTCAATGACAACTAGTTTTAAACTTTAATAAAACTGGCTTTGCATTTACAGCAGAATGAGTTCTGAATAGTTTTTTAAAAGGTGCTGTTTACATGTAGTCCCAACACCATGCTCAGAAATGGAACAAGACTATATTGAGTATGATAAGCAGAAAATAACACAACGTTAAGTCTTGAAATGTGGTATGCATATGTTTCGGGTAAGTATCTAACAGTACAGCTTTGCAATGTTTTTTTAACCACATGAAAAATTGCACTTATCAATATTCAAAGTGTGTACTTTTGAAGAAACTAAGAAAAACACAGAAACTTTTCTAAAATAGCATTATGTTTATATTTTTTATTTAAAAATGGTTTTGAGTTCCAAATACTTGATTGTGCTCCTTCTAGGTACAACCATTTTTTTATCGTATCGTTTTTAGTTATTGGGCACATGGGACGACTGATTATTCTATTAATTTATTTTTCTATTTAGGAACAAACTGTGGTCCTAAAGACACATTTTTCATTTAAGCCCACAAACACAACATTTAAAAACTTGGTATTTACCACTCATTCAAACTCCAATAGTAAAATGCAGAAGCAACACAGTTTTGATGTGTAAGTAGGTCAGTGTCAAATCTAAAAATGTCTCCATGTCATAATGTGGGAAATTCCTCACAGTGAAGTAGAACAGATGAGTCACAGACAACATTTCCTGTGCTGCAAATAACAATGAAATAAAAGTGTGGACTCTTTTTTTGTAATTAACTTTGTGAAAAGGTTTTTTAGTTAAATAAATTCTCCCAAGTTAAAGTCAAAGTGTTTATTATTTTAATTAGTGTTAGTACTTGCAGGCATCAATAATGTCAATTGGTTGGCCAATAATAATAATAATAATAATGATAAATTCCATTTATTGAATGCTTTTCTAAATACGCCTTACAAAAGTACAATTCAAACAACAAACAAAGAAGAAATGAAGTAAATGAGATATACACAACAGTGAACTGGAGGAGTAATGATGTGGGGGAGGGGGTTTAACAGGGAAATGCAAATCTGAAGATGTGGGTTTTGAAGGCTTGTTTGAAGGATGATAGGGTTGTTGACTGTCTGATGTGAGTTCCAGAGAAGGGTGCAGCAGTAGAGACAAGACTTTAGGAAGCAACTCTTCAAGAAGTAAGGCAAGGCAAGTTTATTTATATAGCACCTTTCAACACAAGGCCATTCAAAGTGCTTTACAAACATGAAAGACATTAAGAAAATGGCATTTAAAATCAGTCATTAAAAAGCAAAGATAATAAAATAAACACTAAAAGAAAAAATACATGGATAAAAGTTACAGTGCAGTTTAAGATGTGAATAGTTCAATTAAAAGCAGCGACAAAAAGAAAAGTCTTCAGCCTGGATTTAAAAGTAGTAAGAGTTGCAGCGGACCTGCAGGTTTCTGGGAGTTTGTTCCAGATATTTGGAGCATAATAACTGAACTTCTCCATGTTTAGTTCTGACTCTGTGGACAGAAAGCTGACCAGTCCCTGAAGACCTGAGAGTTCTGGATGGTTCATAATTTAGCAGGAGGTCAGACATGTATTTTGGGCCTAAACCATTCAAAGCTTTATAAACCAGCAGCAGTATTTTGAAATCAATTCTTTGACACACAGGAAGCCAGTGTAAAGACTTCAGAACAGGAGTGATGTGATCCACTTTCTTAGTGTCAGTGAGGACTCGAGCAGCGGCGTTCTGAATCAGCTACAGCTTTCTAATATATTTTTTAGTGAGACCTGTGACCTGTGATTACAGTAGTCGAGTCTACTGAAGATAAAAGCATGGACAAGTTTTTCCAAATCCTGCTGTGACATTAGTCTTTTTATCCTAGATATGTTCTTTAGGTGATAGTAGGCTGATTTAGTAACTGTTTGAATGTGACTGTTGAAAGTAGTCACATGACCCCTCGTCAAACTACAACATGTTGTTTTTATACTACTGGTTAGCTTAGCTGAGCCTTAGAGCACAAAGACTGGAAACATCTAGCTCGGCTCTGTATCTACATCCAAAAACGATACATTGTGGCTTTTACAAACGGGTTGCAATATCAATAGAGTGGTGCAGTGACGAGTCCTAAAACCGGAAGGGAGTCAGCATTTTACCACTACCGGTTCCCTCGTCTCAGAGCCAATGGGATCTCTCCATAGGATTTTGGAAAATAGCTGGAAATAAGGTCTGTGGTTGACACAAATTTAAGAGACGGATCACGTTTTCTTCTACGACGGTGATTTCTGAAGAGTTTACGTGTCTGAAAAACGATGGTTGTTAACAAGTGGCTGAATAGGACTACAGAAGTTGTCGAGGACGTTGTACGTATTACGCCAAACGATTCCTTTAATCTAAAAAAAATTTCAAAACAGGGAACAAATGGTTAATTTAGGGAACAGACATTATCATTTATTACTAAAAGTCAAGATGAATAACCATTACCTACAGTGCTGAATTCAAACGTTCTCTTTAAAACAACAAAAGGAACATATAAACACAATCTAACTTACTTAAAGGCAGCCGGAAAGATCAGACTTGGGGTTTTTTTTTTTAGGGGGGGGGGGGACGACACACGACAAGTGTGTTCACAGTCATAAGTGTGTTTGTTTTACATTTTGACAGGAAGCGAAACACAATGAAAAGTACATGCAAAACACGCATACGGAGCAATGCTCTGAAACCAAGTGTGTGAGATGCATCACTCAAATGTTTGCCCTTCCTCTCCACAGCAACAGTTTGCATAGCAGCAGTGCGGGTGGAGGTGCTGCACATGCCTCATTACTGTGCAAGTGCAAACATAGTGCATGAAGGTACTCCACTATTTACTAGCCAAACATCTTTATGACTAAAGGCATGGACTCTCTCAGCGTGTGAGCTGGAATACCGCTCACTATGATTTATTTTCCCTCATCTGACATTTGATATGTAGAGCCAAAAATACCCCTGGCATCGGCGAGAAATTCATCAGCGTCTGATCCATGGAGGCATTTGGCACACTGCTAACACTAACAACTCTGGTTACTTCTGGTCCTGTGTCAGTGCTCAATGTCCTCCACCTCCACAGAAAAAACTCAACTGAAACAACAAAATGATTTTTCCATTGTGTGACTGATTAAATCAAAAATACAGAACCCTTATTCATTTTTCCAATATCAGTAACAACCAAGTTTCTTCTCTGAGAATATTTAATGTTTAGTCTCAACTCTGTGAATTATTATTTTCTTTTGACATCCTTAGGTCAACGCATCCCTCTCTACACCTCGACTTGCTGTGAGTTGTCGATATGTTTATTTACTCTGTAATGTGATGTTGCCTGGATTAGCTGTTCTCCAAAAAGCTGCTCTGTTTCCAAGGCAACACATAAAGAAGAAGAATTCACACAAAGGATTTAGACAGGCCTAAAAACAGTTGCCTGCCAATGTTCACAAACTGGTATTAATATAGCAAGATAAAGATGATTCAAATGTGATTCTATTCATTTAAATGACAAAATCTGATAATGTAATGTGTAATATGGGAGATGTTTAGTCTAATTTCCCTTGGAGATAGAAAGGGTTTTGTTATTTTTAAATTAACTAAATTGATCATTAGAGAGGTGGCCTGTGAGGAGTTGCTGACTTTAGTCATCAGAACAATGAAGCTCATCTTTAGTCCCCTCCTGAGAGGTGGCTTAGCAAAAATAATTGTGCTGAGGAAGTTGACATGCTAAATATAATTGCACATGGCACTGGTCAATGTGCCAGCTAAACCCCACAGGCATGCTATAACTATAGCTTATTATGAAAAGGATGTGAGAGAGATGTTAACATTTATAATTGGCAAAACACAAAAGTTCATATTATGTAAATAGGTAAAATCCAGTGACTTTAAACTGAATAGTTTGACATTATTGTATAACTATTTGCTTTATAATCAAGACTTAAAAAAAAGAACATTGATACCCCTCTTAGACATGTAGGCCTATGCTAAATATGTAGATAGAACTAAAAGATGATTAGCTTAGCAGACTGGAAACAGCTAGCCTACACTGTAAAAAATGGCTGTGAAATCCACAGTTATTTACAGTGTTTGTGCACAGTAAATGACTGTATACCATTTTAGAGTATAATACCGTGTTTCCAACCAAAAATTACAGCAACTCTGGAGTTACTGTAGAAATAGCAGTAGTAACGTCCCAACTGTATAAAATCACAGTAACCAACAATCTACTGTAGATAATCACAGTAACCACCAATGTACTGTAGAAGATCACAGTAACCACCAATGTACTGTAGAAGATCACAGTAACCAACAATGTACTGTAGATAATCACAGTAACCAACAATGTACTGTAGAAGATCAAAGTAACCAAAAAAGAAAGAACCAACCGAAAAACCCCATTTCTAGAATAGCTAAAATATCTAAAATATCTTAAATAAACCAACATATTTTTCTTAATATACATAATCTTGATGCAGTGTAATTACTAGTTTGGCTATACTAGATATTGTATATACTTAGTAGATATATATTTTTAAGACCGTATGTCTTTGCAAACCGGAAGAACTACAAATGTGATGCTGATTCATACAAAGAATGTGTCTTGGCATTGCACCTTACAAACGCAACACTGAGGAATAAAAATAGACAAAAGTAAGATAATAATCATCAATTTTATTATTATTGTGGCGGCTCAATTCCCAGTCCAGTTTGAGTCGCCGAGAGGCTAAGCTTGGCTATAGGCTGTGACGCGTTTTCAAAGAGAAAGTCCACACCGAAGTAATATAGTCTGACAATATTTAATAAACAAAAACAAACGACAAACTATAGGGACAAAAACGGTCAACAGAAAAAAATCGGCTTGTTTGAGATGAGCTGCGGCTCGCCTCGAAAGTAGACGAGAATAGCCGATTGCAGCTGGGGGAGGTCTCAAAAAGCTCGCCTGAAGTCGGACAGCTCGGAGTCGGCTTGACTCGGTTTGCAATGGCGGAAATTGCGGTGGCTTTCTTCGTTGCAGATGAAGTGGATGCAATAGAAATCCCACAATTATTATATCACTACAAATGAATGACTCAAGTGTCTGTTCACTTTAAAACAAATCAATACAAGGGGGGTTGAATCCTACATGTAAAAGACAGAACCACTTATTACTTTACAAAACTACTTCCGTCAGTGGTCTTGACCAGTTTGCATTTATAAAGAATGCACAACTTTATTGTTATTGCACATATTACAGGTACTGAGACAACGAAATGCAGTTTAGCTTCTAACCAGGAGTGCAAAAAGCAGTAAAGTGAAAAGTAATGTACACAATAAAATATAGAATGAATTGAATGATGAATAAACAGTGAGGGGTATGAACAACAGGACACAGGAATGGTTTAAATAAACTGGATTTTTTATTTACCCAAAAGTCCACAGAAAACATCATAAATCAATCATTTCTAATAACTAGGCCTATAAAAGGTCAACAGAAAATACCTCAAAGAAACATGGCATCAATTTAACAGGTGTTAACTCAACAAACTGACCTGCTACAAAGAAAACCCAAGGAACCTATATAGTGGCTTGGCCAAACCAAGTTGAAACCAAGGGATAATTAATAGTAACAGAAAACACAAAGGACACTGAGAAAACCCAAATCCCCCCCTTTAACATGGAAGCAGGTGGTTTGTCCCAATCTGTCCCAATTGGCTCCTTGCTGTATTTATGAGTCCTCAGCGCTCGGCCACGCCCTTTGCTGAACC